ACTACAGTCCTCCATTTATAGATGAGAACATGTTGTCCTGAAGAGGTTAATGAATTAAGATCATGCAATCTGAAAATGGTGGACTCTAGAGTAGAACCCAGATTTCTCTTGCCTGCATGTTAGTTTATTGTGCTCTTCAGCAATGCTGATCATACCAAAAGGGTTTGCCCTATTTAAAAAAATGTTTTCATTAACAATTCACATAAAGATAGGAGCAATCAAAACCACATGGAATTGAAAAAGTGAGTTTCGTTTGCTTGCAATAATATTTTAAGATTCTTTGATGTTGTGCAAATGTGTTTAAATGATAATAGCTTAAGAAATTCACTTAAGTTAAACTCACTGTTTTACAAAAGTAAGGCCATGACAAGCCAAGCCAGGAAATTAAAATTTAAGGCTGTCATTCTGTGGTTACAAAAAAGAGGAAAGTGAGTGAGTAAAGAGAGCATATGAATACATCTTTTACACGTGGGTCTTAAATAGGAATAAAAGGAAATTATAATTTAAGAGAAAAATACAGAAGTTCAGTAGGCTTATAACTTAAGTACAGTTTCGAATCTGCCAATGGAAATGTCTACCTCAAGAAATGTTTATTAGCATAATGTATTTATTTCAAAATGGAAAGCAAATGGAAAGCATGCTCAAGAAAATAGGCAGCACTTTTCTCCTTGCAGAAGAGGGAGCTGTGTGTGTGTGTGTGTGTGTGTGTGTGTGTGTGTGTGGATGTGTGCGTCTGCCTCAGGCTCTCTCAGGGTAACTGGAGAATCGTGTTCCACCATGAATCTCTTTCCTGTCCCAAACTGCAAGTTTTCTAAGCTGGATTTTATTTCCCTAAACTTGATAATCTGATAATTTTCTAGACTCCATCCTCTACCCCTACACAACATAGCAAAAATGGTACAATGGCCCAATGTGAAAATCTCAACACATTTTGAGCTACATGAAAGACACAAATATCAAAAATGTCTCAGAACATTTTTATTATAAGAATCCCTGTTTACTGTTACAATTTAAAATTAAAGCACCTTTGAAACAAGAAGAAGACATCCAACAATTATAAGATTGTGCAGCTGCTACAAATTCCTTTTGGAAAGAGATTAGCATAAATCATTTTAAAAACAAATAGAACATTATTTGTGCATAATGCTAATAAAGCCTCTACATAAGCCTTATAATTTAACTGTAACTCAGAGTTCTGAGTTACTAAAATTCATTATTTCTCAAAGAAAACCCACATAACACATGGATGTATTTAGCACCCTGATTTTGGTCTCTGTGTACCGTTTCCCACAGAAAGGATCAGAACTCTTTGGGGAAATGGTTAATTCCAGGAAAAGAGGAAGGAAATGTGCCTATTAAGTAAAAACAGAATAAATTAAATAAAACTGAAAATTCTGGCTATCACATTGGACAGGAGCATACTGGGCATTTAAATCACTGCAGAAGTTCTATTGGACAGCACTGGTCTGAGATTAAAAGAGATTTAAGAGACAAAAAGCAATGTGAATGGGGCGCCTGGGTGGGGTCAGTTATTAAGTGTCCAAGTCTTGATTTTGGCTCAGGTCATGATCTCACGGTTTGTGAGACTGAGCTGACAGCATGCAGTCTGCTTGGGATTCTCTCTTCCTCTCTCTCTCTGCCCTCTCTCCCCCCAGAATAAATAGACATTTTTAAAAAATGCAATATGTGAAATTGTTTCAATCTGACCAGATAATAAAAGGATTCTTTTTTGAATTAATGGGGAAACTTAAATACAGACTGAGAATTAGAATATTAAAGAATTATTATAAATAACAATGTGTGATGACAGTTATATATGAAAACAACTTTATTTTTGGAGATACATCTGGAAGTACATATGTGAATAAATGTCATACTGTCTGGAATTTTAACATGCCTCATAAAAATAGATGAAGTAAATATGGCAAAATGTAAATAATTGTTAAATCTAAATCACAGAATATTTTCTATACTTCTATGTATGTTTGAAATTTGTCAAAATAAAATGCCAATTCATAGCTTCTTGCATTTGTAGTTTTAAAATATTAAATGTAATTTACACATATTTATGTATAAGCATGTGCATTTCTATGTACATCAGAAGCTAGAATTGTGCAGCTCCAGTATATTGGCCTCAAAAATAGTAATTGCTCTGTCTAAAGCGTGATTGTCATAATCAAGCCAGGGATGATTAACACTGAAATGACAGAACACAGAATTACTAGTCTTCAATAAACTGTTCTTATACCTAAGTTATTTAGACTATTGGATGGATAGACAATCCAACTGCCCTATACAAGTGGCAGGTATTTTATATTTTAGAAGTATCAAAATTTGGGGGCACCTGGGTGGCTCAGTCAGTTAAGTGTTCAACTCCTGATTTCAGCTCAGGTCATAATCTCATAGTTCATGAGTTTGAGCCCCAGGTTGGGCTCTGTGCTGACAGTGCAGAGCCTGCTTGGGATTTTCTCTCTCTCTCTCTCTCTTTCTCTCTCTCTCTCTCTGCCCCTCCCCTACTCTCTAAATAAATAAATAAATAAATAAACATTAAAAAAAAAAGAAGTATCAAAATTTAAAAATATTTTATGAATTATATTTAGTTGTTTTAATTAAAAGCACTATGATAAAAATATCTAGAATGGCTAAAATCCCATTCAACATTTAAGTACGAAGTACAAAAGTGATAGGTTACTTAAGTACTCTTAAGTTGAATAGCCAGATCATGTAAGAAATGCATCTGTTCAATAATACTGTTCATGAGAGTATGAGAAATTTCATGAGAAATGAGAAATCTGCCTGATTAGGTCAAATCGAATTACCAATGGAAATATATGATAAAGCAAAACTTCTAAACAAAATTAACAAATCACATAAACACCTATGTAAATATTGTTGAATCAGGATTATATGAAATATAAACAGCATCTGTTTAAATATTTAGATTCACTTGATCAATTTTCCAATATTTATCACAGAATTTAAAACATTTTAGAAATCACATACTTCTATGACCTAAGAAGCTAGATCTCCATGACACAAAACAATGGAAATATGTGGTGTGTGTGTACTATTAATTCATTTAATGAGGATTTCTTAAAATGAATTAGTTATCTATTGTAGCAGAATAGTAAGATATATTTAAGCAGTGTAAATCAATAAGCCCTATAGTACAGACAGAAGCACTGACTCTAAAATTAATTTTTGGATCTCAATTACTCCATTTAATGGAATTGACGAGTATTGCCTTCACAGCATGATGTATATGAATGGCTTAATCCCAATATACAGATATTAGAATCTGTAGAGTACCAAATATGACTCCTTTATATGGTAGAAAATATAGATTAATAAAACAGGGCTACTACTTAATTTTGAGTTTCAAAGATAACTACTATTTCCATTAAGTAATATATAAATATGCTGAGAATAAAGTTCCATACTGATCATTTTTATGAAATGCAATAGCACTAAAAACTTTAAGATAAAAAATTAGACAACTTACATAGGTTGAATCCCAAACTAGGTTATAAAATATATGTAAGGTTTACTCTAGCTTACTGTACTAACAGCAATAATCAAATTCTGTGTTCTGGAAACCAAGGGCCAAGTTTTTAGGAAAGGAAGAAGGAAAGAAAAACAAAGAAAGCATGGCCTTTTTGGAGCCAGGATCAATGCAAGGTAAAATTTTGAAGGAGCTGACCCTTGCCTTGACATGCTTCTAATCTGCTTTCTGTGTCTCCCTTCGGCCTTGGTGGAATTCGTTCTCTTCCTCCTGTCCCAATTCTTGGTGATACTCTGAGTCTTTCCACAGGTGGCCTACCCAACCCTGACTAACTCAAGAACACTCCAGAATCCCCCACCCCAGGCACTGGCTTTCCCTCTTCTGTGTCCTACACTCCAGTCAACCATCACCTCTCACCAAAGTAGCTGGACCAGAGAGAAGCAACAGGAAAGCAACCTCATTGAATTAAGAAACAAGATGTGCCTGCCTATAGCCCTTCCAGCTACATTTGCATTAGTTAAAAACTATAATGCCAGATATCAAAAACACTTAAAATGGGGAAGTTTTAAGATTCTCACAATTTGCAGAGAGAAAGCCTACCACAATGATGGGGAAGCCCTTAAAAGAGAAAAGAAAAAGAAAAAAAAAAGAAAAGAAAAGAGAGCAGTTCTCAAAGCAAGCCAACCTAGTTCAGTGCCTTTAACTCTTAGTACAAACAGCACTTTTCCCTTCAGACTCCAGGTTCTCTTTATGCTCCAGGGTTTATGAAGTTTCTCTGGGTGTAGCTCAAAGGGGTGGTGGGGGAGGTGAGCTCTGCAGGTGGCTGGCTATCGGGCTATTTAATGTTGGGAACCGCTTTAAATAATTTAGGGGAGTAAATTTGCATTCTTATTTACATTTGGCTCAGGATTAATCTGGAATTTGCTGTATTTCATCAACATACACGTACTTCAGAGTTACAAGGGAAATCTCTTTTGATATTAAAACCCAGCAGCAGATGGTCAACTGCAGATTAGCCACACAACATTGGCAGCTGACTTTCTTATTCTGATAGTCAAATACATTGTAATTCTTTTCCAACCAGCTAATTTCAAACTTCATTCAAAATTCGAACAGTGCCTGAGTTTTGATGGCTTAATAATTGAGTGTAAAAAATAAAAAGTTGGAAATAAAAAGAAAACTATACCAATAAACTTTGTATAAACTATTTCAGAGAGAAGAAAGAAATATTGACAGACATGTAACCCATGATCTTGCCCTCAGTCACAGTAAGAAATGTGTCACTTCATCATGCTTTGGAAACCTGCTCTAATAAAATGTTCTAGTATGTCTCAGATGAGTGGCAACAGGGAATTTTAGGAGATTTTCAGACATCAAGAGTTGTTTAAAAGCTATATCTATATCTGTATCTAAAGTCTTAAAAAAAAAAAACAAACCCTCAAGATGACACTGTTTCAGTGAATGGCTTTTAAGACACCAATGTTGGAATAGTAATTACCTGCAAGGGACTCGCCAGGGACCTGTTTTTAGGTACTGTAAATGCTTTGAGAACATTGTCTTCGTCTTCTGATACTGGCGTCATTAAAACGGAACTTGTAAGAATATTCTAAAGGGAAAGAACAATTTGAAATTTAAATGAGAGTGGAGAATATGGGAGCCGACACATTCTGACACCATAGACAGGAGATTATTATGAAGTGATACGTATGAGCAGGAACAAAGGCAGGGATCTCCCAGAAATTCTCTTCTCACCGAGCTCCGAGAAGGCCTTAGCTAGTACTCACCCTAATCCCATTGTGGCAAACACCACTACAACAAAAAGCTTTGGGTCCTAATATAGTTCTAGGTGGGAGATGGGCACTCAGAAAATACCTACTAAAGGAATCGGTAAATCCATACTTTTGAAAATGAAAGATCTACTAAGCTCTAGTTAGAGAGCTATTTATTTTATACATTGGTATGGAAATATTTTAGAGTTATCAATTAATGGCAGTATAGTATGATGGCTAAAAGTGTGGAGTTTAGGGGCGCCTGGGTGGCTCAGTTGGTTAAGCATCTGACTCTTGGTTTCAGGTTGGGTCACAATCTCACAGTTTGTGAGTTTTACCCCTGCATTCGGCTCCTCCCTGGCAGTGCATGGCCTACACTGGATCCTCTCTCCCCCTCTCTTCCCCTCCCCCACTCATGCACCTGCTCTCTTTTTTTCAAATAATTTTTTTTAAACTATGCAATTTAGAACTAGACTTTCTGAGTTCTAACTCTGAACCATCACTTATTAGCTATGTAGTCTTCAGTAAGTGACTAAGCCTTCCCGTGCCTGTTTCCCAGTTGGTATAATGGTAATGATAATGTTACCAACCTTGCAGGGCTGTTGTGGGGTTTAAATGAAGTAATGCATCTAAAGCGTTTAGAAGAGTACCTACCACTTAGTATATTCTGAATAAATATCAGCAATTGTTATTAGCTCTGATTCTCCATGAAGGACAGCCGTGCATTATTTAAAAATTTTTTAAAAGTTTAACACTTAAAAAAAAATTACTTAGTGGTAACTAAGTGCTAAAAAGAAAGGAGCTCTCAAGCCATGACAAGACATGGAGGAAACTGCGTATTACTAAATGAAAGAAGCCAATGTGAAAAGGCTCCACACTGTTTGATTTTAACTATATGAAGTCTTGGAAAAGGCAAGACTATAGAGATAGTAAAAAGATCAGTGGCTTCCAGGGGTTGTCGAGGGAGTGGGGGAGTGATGGAGGGATGAATACGTGGACCACAGAGAAATTTTAGGACAGTGAAGCTACTCTGTACGAAACTATAATGGTGGATACATGGCATAAATTTGTCTGAACCCACAGAATGAACAGTACCAACAGCAAACCCTAATATAAACTATGAACTTTGGGAGATAAAGGGTAAGCAGTGCTGGTTCATCAAGTGTAACAAACGTACCACTCTAGCGGAGAATGTTGATAATGGAGAAGGTTATGCACATGTGGGGACAGGGGTATGTGGAAAATCTCTATCTTCTGCTCAACTTTGCCATGAACCCAAAACTGCTCTAAAAAATAAAGTTTATCTTAAAAAATGGTGGCAACCAAAGTAATGCAATAACAGGAACAATAAAGGGCATCTACTATAGATGCTGCACAAAACCAAACAGGAGACTATGTAACAAGGAGAAAATACTACATTTGGGAGAAAGATAAACAAAGGAGAAGAAAATGCAAAGATTAACATTCTGTTTTCACGGAAATACATATTTTCATGCCACGGATTTTTTTAAGTGGCAAAGACTCTCAAATCATAAGAAAATAAATAATGAAAACAATCTGCGATGAAAAAGAATTTCCAACACAGAAACAAAATTTCTACATTCAACATTAATGATCATGAGGAATCATAAGGAAATAAACATGTAATGGAGAATGTTCAGAAATATGATGCATTAAATAGTGCTAAAACCACAGTAGCCTCACATGCCACATGGAGAATTCTGCGAGGCACCAACATCTCATAACGTGGGCGTGTACTTACTGGCACATCCACCACAGGCGATGCCTGTGTGAACAGCTGAGTGTTCAGACTCTCCCCTTCCCAGTGGTTGGAGCAGAAGAAGTTTCCTGCTTTATCCGTTGGAGATTCCACCTGAAAGCAAACAGGAAGTGCTTTGTTGTTTATAGAACTAGAACTTTCCATGGAACATTGGCACTCGTTGGTAAATTTCTGTAAGATGAGCAATATCTGAGGATCTAATGTGTAACATGGGAACTGTCATGGCTAATATTGTACCGTAGAATTGAAATTTGCTAAGAGAGCAGAAGTTAAAGATAAACATGTGAGGTGATGGATATGTCCATTGACTCAGTGATCCTTCCACAATGTATACATATATCAAATCATCATGTTGTATACTTTAAATGTCTTACAATTTTGTCAATTATATCTCAATAAAGCTAAAAAAAAAAGAGTAAATTTCTGGCCAGTCTCTTAAATATTAATCCTAATATGAAAATAAATTCAAGAGGCACGGTATCTACCTGCTGGAAATGCTTCTTGCCACCAAGCTAAGACTTGGATCCCTGCAAGTTACAGCGTTTTTCTTTTATGCTGGAAGTTAGATACTATTGTTTTAATATAAATTTCAATTCTCCATGACATCTGAAAATTAAAAGTCGGTGTATTATTTATCTATCCATCTGTGTATCAGTGATAAAACAGTACAGTAAAAAGCTGCTTCCCTCTCTCTCCTTTATCCTCTCTAACATGTTTTCTGCTCACACATGAAGTAGATAAAAGTGGCTTGGCTTCCCAAATGAAAGGTTACGTGCCCACAGTCTAGCAGTACCTCTTAACCGCATCTTGCAGGCAAACCTTGTATGAAAAGCAGTGCTGCTACCCAGTACTGATGCCAGACGTATAAAGGAACGTTCCGTGCCCACAAGGAACAGAGGGAGCAGGATTCACATCTTGTTCCTTCTTGATCCCAAGGATCTCATGTTTACCTCTTGTTTGATCTTCTTCAGTAAAGGTGGCCCATTTTCTTGAAACTCAGCAACAATTCCAGATTCATCAGATTCCTGCTTGATCACATCCTGTAGGTCTTCTACTAGATGAGATGGTGTCTGAGGCTGCAAGGAAGAGGGGTATGTTTGCATCAGAGGCAAATTTCTGTCTGTAATTAATACACCAGCTAACCTCAAGAACTTGGCTAAAACTTACTAGCATCTTCAGAGGACCATATTTAATTTCTTGAGCTGCAAGTGCATGTTTGAACGGTGTAGGAGTTCTTGGAGAGCTTTCTAGGATTGACCTTTTGATAGCTGGAGTTCTAAAACTTTAAAGGGAACACAAGGGTTGGTTCAATATGAAAGAACATAAGCCCTTTTACATCATTCTACCTATTGAATATACTATTTTTATACTGAATAAGCCCTATAATTGATATGCAATTGGATATGTGAATTAATCGTATGTGTACTGTTAACAAAAAGATAACATATACATCACATATTTCCAAATATTTAAAAGTATTATATTCCCAAGACTAAGAGCATTAAAATATTCTTCATCTTTCTTTAGTGGTTCTGAAGATACACAGAGCGCCTCTAGGTCTTTCTAATGGCCATAAACATGGTAAAGGTTTGATGTCATTTACAAATAAATTTTATCTATTCATTAAAACAGGCTCATCACAGAAGACATAGAAAATCACCTTTTAAAATGTACTTATTGTAACAGGAAATAGTAAGACTGAATTTTTTTATTGATGTTCTCTGTCATTTCTTTGAATTGGTTAAGCCCTTTATTGTATATGTGGGAGGCATCACTCCTTGGCTTCTGATCATATAATATCCCTGGGGATTTTAGAAGCAGTCCTACCGACAGATAAATTTCAAAAAGGAAACATAAGATTAAAAAAATATGAACTAAGTACAGAACCATACCACTGTTATTCTGAATTTTGTAATCAGAGAGCAAAGGAGGTTGAAAATCTTGTCTTCGGTGAAGAAAGAAAAGCCTTACTGAGCAAACAGAAAAACTGAACAGAAAAATTATAAGGACTACCTCTGTATGTATAGAACATTTTGAAGTGAGCTACAAAAAGTAATCTAGTTTATCCTCTGACTCGCCACCTCTAGGTAGTTGTAACATGTGCAAGACAGATATATTCAATGTGGGAATATACATGATTATGTACATTACAGGTAGATCAGTAAAATTATGTACATGCAAATGGATCAGACATTGGGGACTGTATTCCATTAATTAAATATAGGTAAATAAGGGGAAATAATTTTATTCTTGAACCAAGGACTTACATAGTATTTTCCTTTTGAGTTTTCACAGTCTGGTCTCTATGAAATGGTGTTGTAACAGTCAATTTGTGACCATTGAGAGGGGTAGAAGTTAAAGAAGGCATTTCCAAGTCTAAGTTTTCATGGTTACCAGAAGTGTTTAAGAACTAAATATGGGAAGAAAGGGAAAAAAATTACTTAGATTAAACAGTGATTCTTTATTCAGCCCAACTTAAAAACCACACCATGAAAACTAGCAAGTATGTTTTACTGACCCACTATGTAAAATAATAAAGATGTTAACAAGCACATAGCATTGGACAGGGTATTGTTTTATTTCATTTGAGCACCCGAGGTTCAGAATGAAATTTCCAAGAAATAAAATCTAGGGTCATTGCTGAAAAACTTGCAAAATCCTAAGAAAAAATTTTCAGTAAGTGCCACTTGCCATTAAAGAGAACGAGATGCACTCTTTATTAAGATTATAAGCATTAAGGTGATTTTTTGGAAAGTAATTCTTGTTTTTCTTTCATGCTATTTTTTCTCTTTAATGATCCATGAATTATGTGGAAAATTCTTGGATAGTAAGCTGTGTTTCTCAGAACACCATCATTCTGGGAAAATAGCAGGTGTTCCTCAAAAAGTTCCAAGATACAATAAATTTGGGATACATACATATATCATAATCTCCTCCTGAAATTCATAATGCACACCAATTCATTAAAAATTCTGAGAGGTCCTGTAGTAAAGAGACCAATTTTAACTCTGACTTAGTGTTTCCCAAACTTCTATATTTCAATTTTTTCTGGACCATCTATTAAAGTCTTGTAGAACTAATATTCTTCAGAACACAATTTGGAAGATACAAGCAAAAAGCAAGATAATTATTTTGGTGGGTGCTTCATTTGTTCATATTTAGAGCTCTCCTTAAAATAAATTCAACAGACATAACTGGAAAAATGTTTGAAAGTGCCAAATTAACTATTAACTTCAATTATTCTCATAATTAAGGAATACAAGTCTCTGATAAGAATTATAATTTCCATGCCTTAAAAAAAATTCTATGAAAGGATTTTTATGGCAAATACCGGTTGATAACATATTATGGCACAACTCAAAAAGCCAACGTTGAGAAATTAAAATTAAAACGGAAGTTGCTTTCCTTAAGCATTTGTTCCTTATGCTTTTCCAAAACTTTTCCACATAAGGATGGATTGGAACCTTTAAAGTTTCGGGTTGCGACTCAAACAAATGCTCTCCAAATATAGTTTGGTTCCCTCCTCCCCTGGGTCAGTGAATCACAAAGTAATAGGTGAACAAATAGGAAGAAAATCTACTAAAGTTTTTAAGGAGAGGGAAGGGAGGGGAGAAAAGGAAGGGACCGAAATGTTAAACTCTAGGGCTGAATGAAATAAAAACACGTCCCATGCAGCTAACCATGTTTCAAACCACCAAAAGAAAGAGCGAGAATTATGACAAAATGATCAGTCAGCCTACAGACAGCTCAAACTTTGGGAAGCAGTATGACTTAGCAACAGCTAGATTCAACGATGGAACGAGATCAGTGAGGGCAACAGTAATTAGTCATTTGTTCCAAAGGATTAGTTTCTAGATTATGAAGGCTTGAGTATCTGTTGAAAATTAGTAATAGCTGTGTAGAAATCATGCTCTACCTGTGAAGGGGAGAAGGGTAGGCTTTTGACAGGGGAACGCTTGGGAGTTGAGCTGCTGACGCCAGCAAATAGGAAGGAGCTAGAGCCTCCAGTGGCTAAGGGGCTTGCCTGGCCGCGCTTTTTTCGAAGGATGACCAGTGGAACTGTGCCGTGCCTCGAAGGAGGTAAGGGCTTGAGCGGGTCAAGTGAACCCTCACTCAACTTGAGAGCGTTCACCCTTGTGCTAGGCTCTCCTGCAGGTCTATTCAGACTGCCCTCTCTTTGCTGAAGCTTTAGGGCTCTGCCTGCATGATGTTGGCTAGGTGAAAACTCTGCTTCTTCAAAGAATTCAAAACTGCTGAGATCACACCATGATGAAGAATCCTGAAACAATGTGGGAGGCACAGAACTCTGAGATGGTGTGTGCATGATATGTGCCATCACCTGAAACACAGCACTGAGAAAGAACACCGAATGCAGAGAAAACACCTGGCCCTCTTGAGAAATAGCGTCAGGATTAACAACCGTTCCAGCACACCGCACGGCAGGTCTACCATGCAGCCTCCAGGCTGGTCCTACGTGTGTGCTGCGGGGACCTCCAGGTATTCTCTCATTTGCATGCAATCCGAAGCAAAGAGAAAACCTCTTCTAGATGGCACATTTTGGCAACGTTCATCCCGTTTGATGGACATGCAGGTAAGTGCTTTTTAACCAACTGGGCAACAAAGGAAATGAACTGAACATTTGCTTTTTAGGTGCCAACCTCACGTTAGTTTCACTAAAGATGGTTTATCTCAGTGAACCAGTTGGGGCTGGTAATCAATCATCAATGTTTTGTGAAGAGAGCCATGTACCAGCAATGAACTCGCTACCACTCAAATACACGGAATGACTGCTTAAAGGTCTAAGTAAACATAATTCTTAATGTGCGATCCAAAAGCAAAGCACAATTCTAGGGGCGCCTGGGTGGCTCATTCGGTTAAGCATCCGACTCTTGGTTTTGGCTCAGGTCATGATCTCATGGTTCGTGAGTTCAAGCCCTGCATCGGGTTCTGTGCTGACAGCATGGAGTCTGCTTATGGAGTCTGCTTGGGACTCTCTCTCTTCCTCTCTCTCTCTGCCCCTCCCCTGCTCTCTCTCTCTCTCTCAAAATAAACAAATCAACTTCAAAAAATTAGAAAACAAAACTTAAAAACAAAAGCAAAGCACAATTCTAAAGAAACGCAAAAAAGTAACAAAGTAAATACGTTAAAAATAACTCAAACAGTACTCCATAACCCGAGATCTACTTATAGGTCATCAACTTTACTATTTTAAAAAGTATGCATTTTGAAGGAAATGCGTGAAAAGCCACCTTTTATCTGCATAGCCTATGAAATCAGATCTTTGAAAAAACAGACACAAAGGCTAAAATCATACTTTTACATTCATACATGCTAATAACATGTTATTTGCCATAGAAAATGGTAATAATTTGAGAACTGGGTTTCCTAATTCACCATCAAAAACATTCACTTGCCTTAACAATTCTACTTACAGAATCTATAAATTGAAGTGTTTCTGCAAATTCTAAGAGGTTCTTAACATTATCCAGAATGGTGCCTTGGTGGACGATCATGCACCTTGCTGGAGAGGCACTTTCTTCAGGTAGGGAGCCAGGATCCACAGGCAGAGAGGGAGTGGAGTGGTGTTCTTCCAAACAGGAAACAGGTGCACTGTCTCCATGAGGTCTGGTGTGGTCAGCGATGGTGGTGCTGTGCCACCCGGGGTAGCTGCATGTGTGGTTCTGCGTCTAAGGTGGGGGGGGGGGGGGGGGGGGTGGGGGAATAAAGAAAGAGTAGGGAGAAGAAAGGGAGAAGGAACTTAGCAATGAAGTTGCACAAGGTATCAGATGCTGTTGGAGGAAAGATAAAAGTAGTTGCATCATCCAAAACTTGCGCCTATGAAACAGTCGTCAAGATGTTTCCTTTTATCGATGCAAGACCCTGCTTTTTAATAGTGGCATAGTCTGTCACCTATATGAACACCCTCACTGTCATCATTTTGCTAAAACTGCCAACAGAGAGACTGTGTCCTCAAGTGCCACTCTCCCATGGTCCATCTTAAAAGTCTACTTTAACATCATCTCCAAAAGGACCACGCATGGTTGCTGTGAACTAAGAATTGTCCCGTTCTCATTCTAACCTACAAAAAGGTCAGAGGACTCGAGAGTTAGAGTTGCTTTTCTCTGCATATGTTCTCATTGCTTCTATCCCTTTTTAATGTTACGGATTGCACTGATGCAGTGAAGGGCTGTCACATCAACGTGGTTAGGAAAGCAGAAGGGCAAATTAACAGAAGTCTCCTTTCGGCATGACCATGCAACAAGAGAAATTGCAAAACACGAACTAGAGTCAAAAAGTGGTCGAACTAACATATGCACATAATCATCTTATGATTTAACCCCAAAGACATGTATTCCTAAGAATACCCACTGGGTATCACATCTCTTTTATTCTCTTTGTTGCTGAACTAAATCTGTCACAAAGTACACGCTGATTTCTCAGTTTGCGGCCAATCACCAAAAAGATGTCAAAATTCAGTAATGGTCCACACGGCTTTCATGCATGCAAACAGAAGAGAGCAGCCGTGTTATTGACAGAGAGAGGATGTGTATCTTTTTCACAGGTATATACTGAACATGCTTCAAATCATATGTGAAATTAGAAAGTATGAAAATGTAGGTTAAGAAAAATAATAAAAGAAAAAATCAAATGAGTAGGTATCATACAGATACATAACTTTGTAAATAAAAGCAGATTTTCATTCATTTATATCTGTTAGTCGGTCTTTGAATTAGTAACAGTCCTGGAAAAACAGGAAGATTGATGGTGACAATCACAAGTGGATATTGTGTTTCTATTGCCACTCAAAAGGGCTACTTTTAATTTAGTCAACACACATGGTGATACCGACTGCATTTTATTACAAGCAACTTCTGTTCAAACAGTGTTAATGAATGGGCATCTAGGCAGCTCAGTGGGTTAAGCCTCTGACTTCAGCTCAGGTCATGATCTAGTGGTTCGTGAGTTCCAGCCCCAACCATGTTGGGTTCTGTGTTGACAACTCAGAACCTGGAGCCTGCTTCAGGTTCTGTGTCTCTTTCTTTCTCCCTGCCCCTCCTCCACTCACTCTCTGTCTCTCTCTCAAAAATAAATAAACATTAAAAATTTTTTTTGAAACACTATTAATGGATGTACAGTCTTGATTAGTGTAACACTCAGAAGAGAAGGGAAAAGAGACAGGAGGGCACCGGGGTGAAGTTCTCCCCACATTCAAGCACCTGGTTGCATTCTTACCGGTAGCGCCTGCTGTCCTTTGAGCTCATTCTCAGTCGACATTAGGAGCAATTCTAATTCCTTTATTCGCTTTTCTTTCTCAGGGTCTTCATCATTATAGTGTCTCTGAAATTAAAAGTAAAGGAAGAAAAACAGAGAAGGGCCTGATTGAAGCTACTGCAGATACAATGGCTGTGGCCCGCAGTCATGAGGGGCCATACAGCCCAATGAGCCTCAGCGTGAGACTGGCACCAACGAAATGTGGCACAAAGCTCTGTGAGTGTCATTCCACACCTAAGGGAGGGATGTGAAATCTGAGGCTCAAGTGGGTGCTGACTGATGAGCTGGTTCAACTTATGACATCAGAGAATCAGAGAATTCCTGAGCAGGTTTAACTCTAGAAGCGAAGATTGGTAGCTTGCTGGCCAGAACTCTACCCACCCCTCTTTTTTTTTTTTTTTTTTACATCAGTCAGTCAAGCGAAAATAAGTATTTACATGAAAGAAACAAAGCATGTCTTGAAAAAGTTGCTTTGAACAGCCAAAGGGTTTCTTTACGAAATGGTCTTCACATGATCTTACCTGAATGGCCGCAGCAGCTGGCTGAGGGACGTTGACTATATTTACATGTAACGCTACAGGATATGGGACATGACTGGAGACCTAGATCAAAAAGGCAGACGAACAAAGGCCGAGTCATTCATGGTCACATACGCTCTAGGGGAATTGGCTTCCTCTAGGATTGAGAAAAAAAATACTAATAAAATTCACACATGCACAGAGGAAAAAAGAAACACAACAAAAAACCCTCTAGTTTGAAATTTTAGCCGGGCCTTTAAAAATAGCCAAATAAATAGCTTAAGCAACGTAAAGAGATTTGGAGTGCTCGTTGATCTTGACAAAAAGTATCCCTTAATTAGAGAATAACACAATGAAAAATATAACCTAAAATATATTCATGAATGTATGAAAGAAGCTGTAATGGGAAAAACTGATGATTTAGTTGTTTATAATAGAAATATTTTTCTTGGAATAACTATTAGTTATAGTAAAGAGCACAGAACTGCCTATGATGGTTCACTCATCTGAGACTTTTCTGGAAAGTCTGTAGTCAAATGAATGATAGAACAGACAGAGAAGAATAAAAACTATTCAGGAATATGATTTGAATATAACTTGCACACGGGCTCCATATTCTTGGCTAAGTTTCACCATCTATTACCGTTAGTTGTAAGATTCAAGTTCACTGATTTTATTCTTTATGCTTCGTATTTTTCTTTCCCCACCCATTCTGGACATTTCTTTCCCTAAATATAAATGTCTGGCAATCAGGAAGGCATCACACTGATCCAAAGAAGGACAAAAGAAGACATCAGAGAGTGGTGTCACAGAACTGCACCTGACTCGGAGTGAGAAGGTAAACACACGTGGAAGGAGCAAATTAAGACTTTTCTGCTAGATAGATCACTACCAGAATCAAACTTTACAGAATCAAATTGCTGCATTTCAGTGTCAAAGGATCTCTGCTTTAAATTTAATATGACATTCACTTTTCATTTTGGAAGAGAAAAACAAAAGCCCACAAATGCATCTTCATGACCCCATTCTTCTCCGGCAGGAACTTGTTAAGTGGATTTACATTCAAAAGCTAATCTGATCTGAAGCACTTCAGTTGGAATCCAAAAGCCTGGACTGCAGTCTGCCCTACGAGCTGTGCACCTCTGCAGATTACTTAACATCCTGGCTTCCCAGCATACACCAGGGGTAACGATACCTCCCCCTATCTACCTCGAGGCTCTGAAGCGGGGTGATCACCTTTGTGGAAGGTCTTTGAAAAGTCAGCGACTGCGAGGTATTACTGTTACCTGGGGCTAACATAACCATCTCTTTCAGTAAACTAAATTCTCAGAAATGGCTTACGTTTTGCGCTTCAGAAATGTGGTAATAGGAATAATCATTGTTAACTGAAGTCTGGCCAGCTGGAGGGAGATGAGCTGAAGGTGGGGCATGAGCAAAACCCATCAAATGACTGTTCTTCTGAAAACTTGTGGCCACTGTTGGCGGGCTGGCTTTAGAAGACTCTTGCAGATAACCTTCCTGCTCGACCTTCCGACGCATTGTAGAATTCCAGTGGTTCTTGATAGCATTATCAGTTCTGCACAGAAATATATCATGTAAGAATTTTACAAAAAAACATTTTAATTCAGATTAGAGTTAATTGACAGAAAACTGTTTCCCACAGAGACCTCTTCTTTGGGTCTTTTGTTTTTTGTGTTTTCTTTTAACTTGTTTTAGTCTTCCTGACCTCTGAAAGTCATGCTGCCTCTATTATCTAACTGAAAATCCATAGATATTCCTTCATTACACAAGATGGAATAAATGTGGCTTTCGAGAAATCTTTAAATTTTGTAACTGTTTTGTTTCCTTGATAAAAGAGAATTTTCGATACAAACCCTTCCTGTTTATTCTGAGTGTTCACGGTACAAGACTCTAATACAACTTAAAGATCCAACTATTCTGGAAAATTACCGGCTTAGTAGGGCCTACACACCCCAACAGGCACACAGTAAAGTTTGGTGAATGATAATGATGTTGCCACTGCCTCACTGTCCACTCTTTGTCTCGAATAGCACTAGCCAGAAATTTTGAGTAAAAAAAAAAAAAAGGGAAAAAGAAAAAAAGAAACTCCCACCTTTTGACGGCCATCTCAAATTGTTCTATAACCAGAGGTGACAATGGAAAATGGGATCCAGAAGGGGAAAGATGCTACGTCCCCATATCAGTTCAAACTGAAAAGCATTTTCACTAAAGTCTTACAGTTCTCAGGAAAAGTTTCTCAATTCAAAAAAAAAAAAAACGTTTTAGGCCTCCCTTTTACTATTTTGATGGGGGTGGGGGCATGTATGCTAAAGAAAGAGGAAGTTCAGTTGCCCCTTAAATTTTTACAAGAATCAACAGCATATTCTCAGGCCAGATGGGAGAAAAGACCTTCTTTCCTCAATATCTTGGATCCTGTAAGCTGATAGGGAGCCATGAGGGAGGCGGTGCTCTGGACCATCACCCAAGAATGCTACATAAACCATCAGAGCCATGGCCTTCTTTGAAGGTCCCTTTCTCCAATTCTGCTGCGTAAGAATATAATTTATTAAATATTTTCTTACATTGTTTATATAAGATTTATAATGAAGAGTATCTTCCAAATTAAAGAAAATGTGTCATAAACTGTTCAAGCGGGGAGAGTGCGACAAAAATGAGCTTCTAGAGATATCCTTCACGATGAGGTCATTTTTTGTGCCTTGTTCATTAAAAGAAAGCATAACACTGACATTATTTAAAAACCTGGAAGCAGTAGGATAATTCTAGAAATACTCTTATTTCTTTCTTTAAAAGAAAAAAACTAAACCAAGTGGTATAATGAAATGAATGCTGGTATCAGGAAAATGATAGCTGAGATCCTTCTGGTCACTTAACCAGCTGTATGAACTCAGACCAGAGACAAAATGTCTACCCTCAGTTTGCTTCTCTGTGTTTAGAGTTCTATAGTTTACAAAGTGCTTTGACAATCATTTTATTCGATACAAACATTGGCCCTGTGAAGTAGGCTATTATTTATTTTGCAAATGGGGCAACTGAAGCTGAGGTGAGTTCAATGACTCGGCCCAAAGTTCACTGTTGGATGGATTCTGGAAGTCCCCAACCAGATAAACTCTAAGAGCTCCTCCAGTTTTAAAACCTATGGATCTGGCATATCTAATGAAACACTTACAATCATGGGAATGTAATTCACTCGCTATACATTTAAAACAAAATGTTCAATACCCACTCCCTCATTCTTCCCAATCAATATATTTTTTGACATATTATTACCGTCCAGGCAGTAGCTTTGCGATTTCTGCCCATCTGTTCCCCAGTCTCTTGTGTGCCTGGTAAATAATTCTGTCTTCCTCTTCTGTCCAGGAGGTTTTCTTAACTTCTGGATTCAAATGGTTATGCCACCTCTCCCTACATTGTTTTCCAATTCTCCCTTTTAAGTGCTTGGCAATAACAGACCAACGTTTCGGACCGTATTTCTGTACAAGCTCTATCACCTTCAGATAAACACACAAAAATAACCTATGTTTTAATGTTATGTAATGACTCAGTGTAATCATTCTTCAGTGTTACAAGATCTTTAGAAAGGGTCTAAAACTCTGCTTTCATTCATTGGAAATATGGGAATAGAGTCCTCTGCTTCCTGTTTGTACACTTTACCTGTTTCTTCAAGTTGGGAAACATTTAATTAAGATGTCTGGGGAATATTCTTAACTGTGATTCGCACACCAATGAGGAAAGAACTTACTCTCTGATCTTCTTCTTTGGTCCAAGGCCCCTTGATGAGCTCAGGGTTTAGTACTTTCTGCCATCGGTGCTGGCACTGCACATCTGTTCGATTCTAGACAAATAATAAAGTACGCACTGTCATATAGATATGATGCGATAAGCACATGAAGACTTGGTTATTATATGAATCATACACAGACGATATACAGGAAACACGTTCAGGAACAGTTTAGGGCATGTTTGGAGAGCCTACCTATCCCTCATGGCTTACAGATAACAAACATACAAAGAATATATCAAAATTGGATCTAAAATTAGAAGCTCTACCTGTTAAGTGAAATAATCCTGCCATGCGAACTGAAGGACCATCATATTGTACACATGGCTGTCGATTTACCTCAACCTTAACTTCACATGTGGAAGTGCCTCTATGAACTAAGACTTGCTAGCGATTCCACATGAAGGTTGGGCTTCCATGGAAACCTACTCTAAATGATTAAAGTTTGCCTCCCATTCAACCTAAGAGATGCACTTCAGTTTAGGGCCTCAAGTATTAATACTGCAGAACAAAAATCAATAAAGATAGGATGAGAGAGTATAATCTTATAAGAGAGTATAATCTTATAAGAAACAAAAAAGATATGTAACTAACTAATAGAAGGCAGAATTTGATTCATATGCAAGAAGAAACCAAAGCAAAATTATATTGGGCTGAGAGCAGAAGCTTTTCCTCAGGAGCAGAAATTATGTTTCCTTAGGAGGTGTCTGCAAAAGCTCTTGATAGGGACTTTGAAGGATGGATGGAACATTCTAGGAGGTGGCATCACCAAGGACAAAAGCCCAAAGGAGGTAAAGCAGAAACTAATTCAACCAAACCTGCTGACAGAGAGGAAGTAGGAAAGTGAACCGGAGCTGTATGCTGGAGCCGTGTGGAAGGGTCCCTATGTGCCAGGTCTAGGCAGTGTACTTAATTTGTGAGACTATATATGTTACTGCTGTTGATTTTGAAAGGATACAGCTGCATCTTAGGAGGCTCCATCTGCCAACAGTGGTTGGGATGGATGATAAAAGTGGAAAGCTACAAATAGAAAAGCCAGTTAGGAAGCCACCATAATTGTCCAGAGAAGAGGGAAGGGGGCAATTCTGTAGAGCAACAAGGAGGATGGAGACAAGGGACTGACTGACAAAGGAATTTCAGATTCCTCAGTCACTGCTTAGACGTAGGGGATGGGAAGTGGAATAAATCAAAATGGAGTCCAAAATTTTCAGCCAGGGTACCAAAAGTATGGCTACTGAAATAAACAGGAAATTCAAAAAAGCTAACTTGGAAATACCATGAGTTCAGTCATCCTAATGTACACAAGTCATCAAAATGCTAATTTATATCACCCAAATAAATAAAAAGATTAAAATATAAACCATAAGTCATGGTTGAGGCAGTTCTCCCCCTGATTCTTGTATATGAGCAAATGTGTAATGTCTTAATACCCTCTCTCCGAATACCTTATTTAAATCACGGGGAGAAGATTTCCTTTCATAGAAGAAAAAATTACGAACTCACCGGGAGATAATTGGCAATAACTTTCCAGTCATCCGTTCCATTCTGTTCCACCAGCTTCTTCAGTTTTTCATCCTAAGACATTTAAAGTTAATCCTAGGATATCATTCATTTACTGTATAACTTTGCTCTAATTAGAGTAAAAGGGAACCAATCCAATAATCCAATCCAGGAAAAAAAAAACAACTCAAAAATATCCAAATACAACAGATATTAATCTAATATACTGGTTTAGAGCATAGATTTATTTAGAGTCAAACAGACCAAAGTTTAAAACTTGACTTTAAGCTACTGACTAGTTACGTACACTTGGGGATATCATTTGACTTTTTTTGGGCCTCAATACTGTCATCTACGCAGTAGCAATGCTGATGTCGAGGTAGTTATTTGGGGATTACGTGAAGTAGCTACGCGAAACATTTAGTACAATGCCTGGCTCACTGAATGTCTAGTATATGATAACTGTTCAAAGTTTTACTTGATAGGAAAAAGTTATGAACCCAAATGTTAGAGTCAATAGATATTCAACTATGGCAACAAATAGGATCTTGAGTAAGAACCAGTTCAATTTCTATTTTAACATCTCCTTAGTTCAACCTCTTTCACGCAAACAACAGAAGATCACTTTTTAATTACATTTGAAGGTATTTATAATGTAAGAAAGTAATTGCATTTTTGTATCAACATAGTCATAATTTAAATGAGGCCAAACTTATTAGAACACAGAAGACACCACACGTCAGGGAGAAATCTTTCAGTTCACAAGTGTCTTCCTAAGCATGTTCCTTCAAGTAAAAAAGAACCCCCACCTTTCTGCAAAGGTAACTTTCACACACACTGTGAGTCCCGAGAAGGACACAGACACAGGGATTAGGAAACCAGTGTTAACAACAGAACTTCTATAGCTCTCAGGATCATCTGAGAGCACAACCTCCATAGGTAAACTATGCATTTCCTAGGGACCTCCCTAGCAATCCTGCCAGAGCCTCTCAACTGGGGCTCTGGTGAGTGAAGTGGGGTGGAATGAAACTGAAGAAGAATCAATACCATTTAATCTAACATAAAATCCTCTGCAATCAGTCGCAAAAGTTTTTGAAAACTTTAAAGAAAAAGTAACTTTCCCCATACATTAATAATTTTGCTCCTTAAGTATTTTCCCATTTCTACAAAGATCAAGCTTTTGATAAGCTAGCAGAAAGAGAAAGGTGGAAAGAAGACACATCTCCATCCATCATTGCACACTGTTAGAACAGACATTCATGTGTACTCCATCATGACAAGATAGGAGTATTATGTTTCATACTTTTGTTTTTGGACATAGCAATTCATTCACTTGTACAGAGAATACTTACTACCATCCCAGTTTGTATCAAGCAATTCTGGGCTCAGGGAACACGGAAACGAACAGACGTTTAGCCCTGCCCTCGGTAGGTTTGTAGTCAGCCTACTGGGGGAGGCACACGTTACAGCAGCAGTGAGGACGAATGTGTAGCCAATGCCTGGAGGATGCATCTAACCTGCCTGGGGAAGCCAGGGATGGCCTCACTGAAGAGGTGATGTCTTCACAGATGATGAAGAAGGAGTAAGGAGTTGTGCAGAAGGGCAAGAGCAGAAAAGGTAGAGAGAAACACAGATGAAACACACACTGAGGACGGGAAATTCAAAGAACTACAAAGAGTTTGGAAGAGGATTGTATGGCGCACGCGTGGGGGGAGTGCTGCGAGTTCAGCATGGTGCATAGGCTCATGCTAATGAGTTTGAGCACCTGTAGTTTAGCTGTAACATTTTCTTCATAAATTGACACACTCTAGGTTTATCCCATGTTTTGATAACATGATTATTTACCTCTTCCCTGGTCCACCTAGTTTTCCCCAAGTGACGCTTTCCAGACTTGGGAAGCAGTCCATCATAGTCATGATCACACATCTCAATGTCTTCGTCATCCTCGTCACTGCTGTATATGCTGCAGAAATAAAAAATGGGCAGACGGGGACTGAAACCAGAAGACTTAAAACTATTGGATTACAAAACTTACACGAAAACTCAATCTTTTCAAAGGTTACGAAGATAAAAGTTTGAAAACTCGCACAACAAGATTGCTTTCTTCATTCTGTTGCTCTAGTATTGTAAACTGGTTCTGCTGTTATTGGTATCCACAGATACGGCAAAGGACCTGGAACTTTCTTATTGCTCTGCATGTTTAAACCTGCTGTGACTGTCAGCCCAGTGACAAGTTACACATTTGGCAACCTTCCAACCAATGGAGGTTTAAGTTTAAAACTTAATGTTAAGGACAATCAAAGAAACAAGAGCCTATGTCCTTCACATAAGTACACACTCAAAATCTTTGGCATGCACCACATCACTTAAATAATATTTCTCCAATAAAATAAACAACTCAATCATGCTACTCCAGTGGTACTGGTGTTTTATTGGGAGAAAAAAAAAATTCAAGAAGTAATACACCCAACAATACAATTATAGTCATCCCTTAAAGATTAGAAGATTAAGAGAATGTAAGAGGAAAGGATGTAAAAAACCTGAGGAAGGATAAGGCCATCAAGTGATCAGACGGTTTCATAAAATTAAAATATCCATTAAAATATCCAAAAAGCATTAAAATATCCAACAGCCCCAAACTCCAGCACAGTTGATCCAACCTGTGGCCGTGATTACAATACTGTTTCCTAAGTAACTAAATGAATAATTAGGCCACTTGGTAGTCAGACTCTTACTGACTTTTTTGTTTTGTTTTGTTTTTTTCTATTTCTGACTGAACGGTATTTGAAACCTCTTAAGATGTACCTGATTCAAAACTGAGGGATTCCCCCAGATGGCTTTAAAAAGAATGCATTAGTGTTTTGAAGAGCGCTTTTCTTTTACCTAGTAGACAAAATTATGAATTTTGATGACTTTTGAAATAATTCTACACTTCAGGTTTATTAATCATATACTAAATAGATGGCAGTAATGTTACAGCCAGTAAAAGTTAGTTTACTTTTACCTATAATTTTACTTATACAACGTATGACATGCCATCTTAAATTGTATCTTACTCAAGAAATTAATGTAATACAAACATATCCCAAATATCTTAAATTATACTATCCTAGAAACTTCAGTAAAATTTTCCATTGTAATATTGAGAAATCCACCAAACTGAGAACAATAAAAATGCTGATATAAAGTAGCATCATGATGCAAATTATTATTTTTAAAAAGGAAATTTATATTTATATCAGGTTTTGTCTTCGCAAACCAACTTACAAGTATAGATATAATACAAGTGCACGATATATACACAATATGTATAATTCATACATATAGAATACAGGTATATAATATATACAAATATATATACCCTTACAAGACCTTACAAGTCAAGCAAAAGTGCTTTCCAAAAATCCTGAATGTGAGGTTCTCATAATTTAAAACTATCATTTTGAGAAACAATCTGAAAGTCTAGGATGCATGGTGACAAGTAGGCTGTGATCCAAACTCCAAATGCCACTACAAAAGAGAGCTGTGTTTATAATCTATAGTCAATTTTTATTTAGTGTCTATTCTTTTAAACAAGAGTCTACTCCTGTTCCCCACTGTCAACAAGAGGCTCTAAACAGTCTCTGATTAATAAATGCAATAGTTTCCCTTTAAAAAATCCCACCAGCAGCAGAAGATGAAAAAAAAAAAAATATTTTCCCAGAGCTGTAGGTCAGCATCTTTCAAAAGGGTCATAGGGAACTCCTTGAAAAAGCCCCCAAATGAAGTGGCCCCCTTATAAAATATCAGGAATACCAGGAAAACCAGGGTAGTCTGAACAAGGAGTCACAGATTCCATCTACTTTAAAGTGTTAGGTTTGGTTAAATCTGGAGATCACATTTTCAGAGGTGAGAACTACATTTTCCAAGCTAGTAATTGGGCATCTTTCTCTTGGAAACAGCTCACCTCTCGGGAACAAGCAACAAATACCGCCGCCCATAGGGGGCAGCCAATGTCAGGTGAGAGCGGGTAGGCATCAAACAGGACCAGGGGTCTGGAGGCAACGGTGCCAGTCCCAGTTCTGCCTCCACCTCCCTGCATGACTCGGACAAATCACTTCCTCTCTCTCAGGACCTCAGTTCCTCGCCTATACCTAAGGACTTGGATTCTATTAGGAAGGTACTTTCCAGTGCTAATAAATGATGATTTCAGATATTCCCTGCTTCTTACAAATTCAGCACAGAGGCAGAGATGTGCAAAACCGAAGTCCTGGGGGGAAATGTGGTGTGGAACTTCCGTAGGTCCTGAAGAGGCCACAAGGGCAGCAGGGAGAACCCAGGGCGGCCCACAGTCCGCTCCTGGGTCCATCAGCAGGTTGGGAACCCGGGCTGGCTTTTAAGCTCTGCATGCGATGTCCTTGCTCTAAGTTGTCCTGGTAGGCTAAGTAGCACGGTTAATTTCTACTAAGGACTTGAAATAACTTTTCCTTTATCTGCTCAGACCCAACAGTCAGAGGACTTTCAAAGGCTGATTTCAGGCTTGATGCACTTGACTCCCCACCTGCTAGACCTGGTGTGGTTACAAGAGTACAACTATGAATATTACATTCTGTCAAGGAAACAAACCGTGCAAAGAAACGAAAAAGAAAAGAGGTGTTGGGGGTTGGGAAGAGGAGGGGAGTGGGAGGAAGTGCCTTGTGGCCGCTACTGTGATTCTAGAAAAGGGGTTCAGACTCATTTCGCTGACCTGGTTAATAATCCCTGCCGAGTTGACGCTCGCCCTGCAAGAAACGGCTTCGAGCCCGCAGCCGGGTTTCTCTTCCCCCTCAGGCAGGTTCAAGGCTCCCGCCCCTCCAGGCCGCCACCCTTCTCCGCTACCTGGGAGCTGCAAGGAACCTGCGCGGCCCCGCCCCACCCGCCCGGCCGAGATCGCGGGGCGCGGAGCCTCCACCGCGCCTCCTCCCAGCACCCCTTCCCAGCTTCCTTCTTCTCCTACTCCTAGTTTCTGCTCTCAGAAAGAAAAAAAGAAAAGAAAAAATATAGGTGCCTTGGCTGTTCTGCTGTTAAGTCCCAAAGGCGAAGGTGAAACCACTTCAAGGGCAGCACCCCCGCCCCGCGTGGCGGGGCCTTAGGCGAGGCGTAGGGAGCCCAGGGGCCCTCCAGGTGGCCTCCCATTTTCTCCCGCGCCCAGCCATGCCTAGGCGCTGCTTCCCGCCTGGCCAGACTCGACCCGAGGGTGCTGGGGCAGGGCCCACACCCACGCCGTTTGCAACTTCCCAGCGCTGCGCGGGGACGAGCGACAGCCGGTTCAAAAACAAATAAGTACCAGAAAAACAAACAACCCGAAGGAAAATGGGTTGGATTTGCTTTGCCCCCAGGGGCTAACACCAAGAAGCTGAGAGCGAGGGTCGGCCCATCACCCCTCTTCTGCCCCGGAGACCTAAGACGGCGGGAGCAGGGCGTGGGGAGGCGCGGCAACCTCAGCGGCGTCCACGTGTGCGCGCCGCGCCCGGACCTCTAGCCCCAGCGAAGAGGCCGCGGGGATTGCGTCCCGGTTGCGCGGCAGCGGCCTTGGGTGCTGCCCGCCTCCGTCCTTCCCCGTTGAGTGGCAACCGCGACGGCCGTTGAGCTTGTCCGCGCACCCGGCGGCTCGCAGGGAGCTCCGGCGCGTCCAGTCCCCCTAGAGACCAGGGGAAGCGGGAGTGCCGGCGACTGACAGTTCGGACGAGTATTTCCCTCCTCCTCCTCCTCCTCCTCTCCCTCTTCCCCTCCGCGCGGCCGCACTGTTAGCAGACTTCACCCATCGTCCCGGCGAGCCTCCCCAAGTGCGGGGACATGTGCGGCGCGGACGCGTGTGCGTGTAAAGTGTTTGCATAAGAAGAAGTAAAAGCCTGCCAGAGTACAATGATCAGAGCCTTCAAAACCTTGGCTTAAAGCAGTTTGCAAATGTAGCGACCCTTTTCCTCCCCAAAATCTTTCCAGCCGCCTGTCAGCTGCCGCTCTGCTTCGCCTCCATAAAGAATGAATGAAATTTAAAGGAACTACCTGCAGCTACTAAACAATCCGGCATCTTCCCTATATCTGCCATATGCTCTGCACTTCCAAGTCCAAACATAACGCAGTGCATCAAGCAATTACGCAGCGACTCCCTTGCCGACGCCCGCGGCATCAAGCCAGGGACCTAGTGGACTCCCCGGGGTTGGGTGGGCACCGCTCTGCCCCAGGCTGGAACGTGCTGCTTTTTTGCCCCCTAGAGAGAAATGGGTCCCCGTGCAACTTGCAAAATGAGCCTCAGGGCATGCTTCCTGACGCCCTGACATATTTCCCGAATAGGTTCTCCCATTCATCAGTTGCACGAGCGGCTTCTGCCGAGGCAGAGGTTCTAGGTCCTCGCAGGATCTGACAGCCCCGCAGGAGATCCGGGAACTCATTCCCACCTGCTCTGCGAGCACCCGGTGCGCCGCGCGCCCCCGCCCGCGGCCGCCCGCCCGGGCTCCCCGTTACCTGTGTCGGGGTCTCCGGGCCATGGCGCGGCGGGCGCGGGGCGCAGCTGGGAGCCGCGGGAACCGCACGGGGCTGCCGCCTCCCGCTGCCCGCCGCCTGCCTGCGT